ACACACACACACACACACACACACACATATTATTATATATATATATATATATATATATATATATATATGATTAATGATAGATCCCAACAAGCGAATGTTTGTGGTCTAATGATCGAAATGATCGATTAAAACTTGAAATTGACCTTTACTATGCAGTACTGATTTCAATGTTCACTGTTTACATAAAAAAACGCTCTATCCCGGTTATTGGGCACTGTTTACCTATAAATAGAGTAGATTTAAAATATATAGTCTAATCGAATAATCTTTCATATGCCTGGTAGCAAATAAAAAGAGAAATCTTTGACACACTACGAACTGGATATTCATATGGTGAGCAGACAGATATGATTTTTCCATACAGCCACGCGAATGGAAATGGCCGTGAGGCTTTACGCTTGTCGAGTCATCGAAACTTTACCGCTGTTTATCCTCGTGTTCATGGCACTAAAAACTATGGATCGAGGAAGAGTGAGATCTGCTCGCACGCCTGACCACGAAGAACACAATCTACAGGCTGTCGGAGACGATCCAGGTGTCAGCACGCGTCAAGTGGACCAAGCATGTTTTACATCACATAGTACCACATGGAGGGTACTTCAAGAGCAGCTCCTGTATCCGTATCATTTACAACGTGTTCAGGGTCTTTCGCTCTATTATAGGAGAACTTTTGCCGATGGTTTATTGCAAAAACTACCGATCTGTTGTTTGTTGTTTCAGTCTCGTTTACGGATGAGGCAACATTTGGAAGAGATGAAATAACAAATTCTAACAACCAACATTTTTGGGCGGATAGGAATAACCAAGGTACAAAAGACATCAGCATCAGTTTACGATTAATGTGTGGGCTGGAATTGTAGGTGACTGTCTGGTAGGTCCATATGTTCTCCCAGTACGTCTTACACGAGGTGTCTACAGGAACATTATTTCGATCACCCTTCCAGACCTGCTAGAGGGTGTACCCTTGCTAATATGAAGACGTATGTGGTTCATGCATGATGAGTCTCCAGCACATTTTAGTCATATTGTTCGCGATGCGCTGGCTGACATCTACCATGAAAGATAGATAGGTAAGGGAGGACCATGGCCTGCACGTCCCCCTGACCTCAATCGTTTGCATTTTTAAATGTGGGACCACATAAAAACGTTGGTTTATACAGCACACATTAATAATGCAGAGATGGTTCATCAATGTACCATGGAGCCTGATAAACCATTCGTCACTGTGTGGGAGTATTTGAAAAGGTCCGCCAGTCAATGATCCGACGGGTGCATGCGTGTGTAGCAGCAAGGTGAGGACATGTTGAACATTTTTCATGAGTTGCTGTGTTGAGGTATAATGGTGGCCTTTTGGACATATGTTTATATGGACATTTTACCTTGTTTTGGTATCAGGAGCCCTCTCCGAAAGTTTTTTACAGGTATTTTGGGATTGTATCTTGGAATATACATTTAACAGCGTCTATTGTACACTTTAAACGTAAGTCAAAAACGAAGGATTTGCAAACATGTTTATATGGACTTTGTTTTGGTGTGAGGAACCTGCTCCCAATTTTTAAAAGTATTTTTGATACACCTATATATATATATATATATATATATATATATATATATATATATATATATATATATGGTAGATTCATGAACTACCTGAGTAGTTCTTCTTATAGCCATCGGTCAGCATTTGCTTGACAAACATGCTTGTGCCTCTGGTTATGAAGACGATTGTTATTCAGTATTACACAGTGCCGATAAACACACACACAATTATATATATATATATATATATATATTAAAGCTTTTCACCCCAAACAGGGTGGTAGTGCCGCTAGCACGCAAGGGGTTACAGAGAGTGAAAGTACGAGTAAAGGGGAGTGTTTACGGAAAGGATAAAGATAAGGACGTGAATCAAGATCAAGGCATTAGAAGATGTCGATTGACATTACATTTAAATGTTTGAAGATTATCGTTATCAGGGAAGCAAGTAAGAGGAAGGGAGTTCCACTGTCGGGAAGTGCGAGAGAAGAAACTGTTGGAATAGATGAGCCGGTTACATTTGTTTCGACAGCGAAAGAGTTGGACCGAGATGTTATTCAAATTCATGCAGTTGGGTCACCAGTGGAACTATCTTCACTGGTGCCCAACTGCATGAATTTAAGCGTGCTACTAGGTAAGCATCTCGATCCAACGTCAGAGAGAGAAAGAGAGAGAGAGAGAGAGAAAGAGAGAGTGTGGTTAGAAAATTCACATTCTTACTATGAGTCATTTGTTCGAATATCACCACGGTCGACTTGCCAGGTAGGTGACTTGATTGAGTCGACCCCACTGTGCACCGTTGGAAAGTGAGTGAAAATCAAGCCATGTGAGTGAAATGTTCACTGATCACCCCACGCAGTTGAATGCGACACAAGGCCGAGTTTATTGTGGGGTAGTAGGCTCGTCCAAAAATTCCCAGTAGACCCCATAAAAAACGGGTTCGGGTAGCTGTTTCCCGTAACGATACTCTGCCCTTCGACATAGCCTTGTCTGGGGATCCTCTCTGCCCAGAGGCAGAGAGTTTGACCAGCACACTTCCGAAGTAAGCCGGATAGTGATTAAAGCCGTGTTAGTGAAATTAGGTCGATGAAACTTCTCGGAAGCGGTCTATGGTTGGTCAACACTAAATCACAAGACATCACGACTGATGGCTTGAGCATACTTGTGTCGTGCTGATAATGCCAGATTTTACGCTCTCTGAGATCCACTCAGCTTAGTTGCCGTACAAACCACGGTTGGGCTCTGTGGGTGTTGAAAACGGAAAAACGTGAGTTGTCGGCGATTTGTTTTTATATCAGTAAATAAGTGTAAATTGCGTGCTTCTGTGGGTACGGCATTGATAAGATCATTACTGATTTCAGACAATGGGCAGGTTTGAAAGCTTAAAATGAAAATTGTCTCTCTGCCTTGTCTTTTGTTTGTTTTTTGGCGGGGAATATTAACGAAAAACGATATTATTAATCATTTGTGATTTTTAAAGCTTCCTTTTCATTTATTTTATTTATGTTTTTATTTTATTTATTATTTATTTATTTATTTATTTATTGTTTATTTTATTTATTTATTTTATTTATTTGTTATTTTTAAAGCTTCTTTTTCATTTATGTAGAGACCCCCCCCAAAAAAAACGATGCCTAAGTTTAAAATGAAATTTGAAAAATGAAAAATCCTAGTTGAAACTTTTATTTTAGTTTTAATTTCAAGCTAATAGATTAAATTTGATTGGAAGGTTTCTTGTTTTTTTTTCTTTTTTATTTATTTATTTATTTGCTAAAATAGCTGATTTAGCCGCCTTTCATCGCAATGTAATTCTCTTTATTAAAAACAATCTTCTAAAAATAAAATATACTTTTTTGAAACATTATTTGAGGAATATTAGCTGATTTAAAGTATAATTAATATGATTTGAAACAAATATTATTTACTTTAGTCTTAAAATGTTGCAGAAATGCATTTTTTTACCTGACAGTAATTCTATTTATAACCTTCTAATAGCTTTGCAGTTTTTACGTATTGGCAGCCTGATGACAGATCTAATGTTTGTTCACGGAGACTTTATCTGTAAAAGATAATAATAACATATTTTGTTTCACCCATTTCCTATTTTTTTTCTTCTTCAATGTACCATGTCCTTTCAGGGCATTAGCGATCATGGTGCTCCACATTTGCCTGATCTTTGTAGTCCTTAGTAAAATTTATCTTTTTGCTATATCTCCTGAACCTTGTCCTGCAATCCATTTGCCAAAACTCATTAGTTAGGTTAACCGCTCCACCTTGCCTGTGAGTGTCAAATTTTCTAAACCTTCTTTCCTCATTATGTGCGCTAGAAAGGTGAACGGTTTCTTTGTGATGTTAAATATGTGTCTTTTTTGTTTCCATTTTCTTTAATGAAAATGTAAAGGTTGAATAAGTGTATTTAAGAATTCATTTTCTATTTGTATGCAGACAGTTTGCTTCAGTATATATATATATATATATATATATATATATATATATATGGTTGGAGTGATGTGAGTTTGTGACCCTGGGTTTCACGCCGCTTTAGCAATCGTTTGTCTGACAATCGCAAAAGCGTGAATCCCAGGGTCAAAAACTCACATCAATCCAACCAAATATGTTCTTTCACTCTGATATTGAGCGCTTTCTAATAAGTACATGCATACAATATATAAATAATAATATATAATATATTACACACACACACATATATATATATATATATATATATATATATATATAAAAAAAATCTGTGGATAAGTAATCCAAGTGAATCCTATTAATATAAAATATTAAAACTGATACACAAAAGAGAGGTCAATATATTTATTATAGAGCATAGAAATGAATTACGTAAAAATGAAACTCAATTGTACCACATTTTTATGGCCATTTCGCTCCTCAGTATAAATTCCCTGGAGCTTGTCAACCCTAAAACCTTTGATAAAAAAATGAATCTTAACGTGTTTATTTTTTAATTTAAAATTAAAAAAGGATAGAAAAAATAGAGGAAAACAGAGGAACAAACCGCAAATAAAGGGAAAGGTTTTTAAGAGGTTGATAGAAAAAAAAAAGAAAAGAAAAAGAATCACCCAAATACATATATGTGTGCATGTATGTATATAAACAGTTTAGAGATATCACCGTTATTAAACAACTCTTCCTCCAGAAATAAAACCAATGTTGAACACACACATATATATATATATATATATATATATATTGACAGAGAAATATAAGGTTAATAACCCTACCTTTCATGTCGCACTAGTGACCTTGCAAAAATAATGAACCAACATCTCCCTGTACTGTCTCCCATCGCATGATATTCTAACAAAATATATTGTCCCTGACATGTAACTGATGTAGAAATGATTGCTACTGTATGTTCTTGAGTAGACCACTCTCCCAGAGAAGATAACCTTAAAGATGTTAACATTCTGATGAAACATTGATAGGATACAAACTTATAGATAATGAACAACCTTATATAAAATCATAGATAGATAGATAGATAGATAATGATTATCCCTAGTTAAGAATAAAATAAGGATAGACAGCGGGAGAGAGAGAGATAATGATTAACATTACATAAGAATAAGGTAAGTATAGACAGATAGAGATATATAGAGCTAATGATTAACTCTACATAAGAACAAGATAAGGATAGATAGATAGATAGATAGATAGATAGATAGATAGATAGATAGATAGATAATGATTAACTGTAGATAAGAATAGATAGATCGATAATGATTAAATTTAGATAAAAAATAAAATAAGAATAGATAGATCGATAGATAGAGAGATAATGATTAACTTTAGATAAAGTAAGATAAGAATAGATAGATAGATGATGAATGAATTTCGATAAAAATAAGAAAAGATAGATAGATAGACAGATAATGATTAACTATAGATAAGAATAGATGATTGATAGATAAACAGATAATGATTAACTTTAGATAAAAATAAGATCAGAATAGATAGATCGATTGATAGATAATGATTAACTTTAGATAAAAAATAAAATAAGAATAGATAGATCGATAGATAGATAGATAGATAGATAGATAATGATTAACTTTAGATAGAATAAGATAAGAATAGATAGATCGATAGATAATGATCAACTTTAGATAACGTAAGATAAGAATAGATAGATAGATAGATAGATAGATAGATAGATAGATAGATAATGATTAACTTCAGATAAAAATTAGATAAGGATAGATAAATCGATAGATAGAGAGATAATGAATGAATTTAGATAAAAATAAGATAGATAGATAGATAGATCGATCGATAGATAGATAGATATTGAAGAAACTGTGATAGATAGATAGATAGATATATATATAGATAGATAGATAGATAGATAGATAGATAGATAGATAGATATTGAAGAAACTGTGATAGATAGATAGATAGATAGATAGATAGATAGATAGATAGATAGATAGATAGATAGATATTGAAGAAACTGTGATAGATAGATAGATAGATATATAGATAGATAATGAATGAATTTAGATAAAAATAAGATAGATAGATAGATAGATAGATAGATAGATAGATAGATAGATAGATTAGGACTGATGGAGATAAATATTGTTAATTATTAGACCTCGTCTTTTGACCAGTATGTGATACCCACTCCTAATCCGTGTGCATCTAGCTTGTTTCTGGTTATTTAAATAACTTTTGTATTCATATTTATCATTTTGTTTCATGATCATCTTTGCATTTTCCCCTTCTTCTTCTTCTTTTATTATTATTATTAGTAGTAGTATTAGTAGTAGTATTAGTAGTAGTATTAGTAGTAGTATTGCAATCCGTCTTCGGTGACACTTCAGCAAATAACAGATGTATGTTTGAGTCGATATGACGCGTGCAAACGACACCCGCCCTCTTTTCAAATAAGTTCAATCGACTAAGCGATCCATCATTTGATCGAGGACAGTGGAATAAGCGAGCGATTTGAAAAATAACAAAAATAATTGTCTTATATTTCGAACTCCATTCTCGATACAACTCCCTTCTAAAACGCCTAGTTTTTTTTTTTTGTTTTTTTTTTGCAGTTTATTCCTTTCACTTTTCAATCGTTTCCCCCGTTTCCCTTCCTCACTCAAAGAGATTAATAAGATCGTTTCTATTCTTATTATCATCATCATTATTATGAAAAGACTCCAATTTTTGGTAATTTTTTTTTTTTTTTTACTTTGCTTTTACGATAATTCTTCTGGTGATAATCTACCGTTATTTCTTGCTTTTTTACATATTACTGTTTGTTTTCTTTCTATGCCTTTTTTTTATTTTATCTTAATATCTGTTTAATTCGTTTGTGACATTTTTTGTTCTCAGTATTATATGATTTATACAACTCCCATCAGCAGCAACACAATCATCATCATTAATGTCATCAATAAAATTCACATCATGACTAATGCATCGTCATCATTATCATCAATATCATTACAATCATAATCAATGCTATTGACATCATTGTCAGCATTACGGTCATCAGTATTATTAAATTTGTGGTCAATGCTACTGCGAACATTGTCATCAATACCATCTTCATTGCAATCAATAACATATTATTATTATTATTATTATTATTATTATTATTATTATTATTCACAGCATTATCATTGGAACCACTACCATTATAATCATGAATACCATCATCATTATCATCAATGCCATTATAACCATGATTAAACACCATCATCATCATCAGCCACTGTTCAAACATTTCATAGTCTAGAATCCTGACCACGACAGATTATTATTATTATTATTATTATTATTATTATTATTATTATTATCATTATTATTATTATTTTCTTTGATTTCTGGTGTGTACACATTTCTTTCCGGGTCCCACCCAGAGACCTAAGGTCAGAAATGGCTTCATGACATTTTTCCACTGAACAATTAAAAAAAACAAAAAAAAAGCATATT